GCTGTACAAGTCCCCCAAGTATTGGATGAAAAGAAGAAGAAAAAAAAATCACGAAGTTATTGAATTTTCGAATTTAGTTCCCAGCGCGTTTCTCAAACCGATAACCCCTACTGGCAGCACTGAAGTGTTGCCTGGTGATAGTTAGGGCGGGAGGAATCAGGTTTTTGTCTTTTTATACTTGGGCTAGGCGGCGCAAGCTACCGCCCGTTACAAAGGGTATGGCTATTAAGATCCATTCACCCATCCATCTCCAAATGGTGCAAGGTACAATTGGTACAATGGCACAATGGCGCAAGTTGTCCACTCTCACCAAGCTTGGTCGGGGTGGAGAGCGGATACGCTTGCCCTTGAGCACAGAGAAAGTGCCTTCACGTTTGCGCTGACGACAAAATAAACAGTTAAAGGATGAACGCAGTCCGTGTCTGTCGTGTGTCTGGTTAGCGCTCTAAAAGCAAAAAATAAAACCAAGAAAAAAAAAAAAGGTTTGATTAACACGCTCCCCTGGTTTTATCTATGTCATATATTTTCGCTGCCGCCCGGCGAGTGGCCGAGGGGGAACCCCTAGATTGGACTAAGGGCACCGACAGACTTTGTCATTGCGCTCAGTTGGACTGGTATGACGTCCCAGACAGATTTGCTTCCGCGAAATCAAGAAGAGATTTGTCCAGCTTTTATGCAGGCCCATATAGTGGATTGACTTTTGTTTTATATTTGTTCGGTGAGTAGTCTGCGGTCTAATCGCCGTTCTCACTTCCTCCGGGTCGTGTTGGGCATTTTTCTGCCGCTTCCGAAGCATCGGTCGTTTGACATTTTTGGTGGAGGTGGTGAATAGCAGCGCTTCTGATGAAGAGATCCAGCGACTCGGAGCTTTCATGCGCATCGAGAGACCCAGCGAAGCAAGAGTTGGGACGAATGAAGATATAGGACAAGATCCATCCACTGTGGGTGAAGAGATCGGACGTGTCAAACGAGTGAATACCCCTGGACTCGTTGGTCCAGAAGGCCTCTTGACTCGCTGGATCTCCCTGAATGTCTCGTGGAACGAAACGGAGGGCAGCAGCCAGAGGCTTTGTGGAGATGTTTCGGGGGGTTTATTATATACACACGCCGGGCGACGAGAAGTCCAAAAGTAAACCCTGGCCCCCTTCTCCCACGGGACTGTGGAACGTCAGCGTGTTCCTTCGGTTTTCTTTTCGGTCGTTCGTTCGTTGAGAAGCAATTTTAAAACTGCGCTGTTCGGCTGCTGGGGCTGGGTACGCCGTTGCTGTCTGTGTTCCGCCTGCGTTGGTAGATGCGGAGGGGCAACAGGGGAGGGGTTAGCGGGCAAGTAGACCGGTGAATTTCTTTTGCCCATTAGATGCGATTACGTGACTCGGACGGGGGAGTTTCTTGGCGAGTAATGCCAGGTTACGCGAACTGTCGGTAAAGCGCCCTGACCGCTAATGTCCACGCAGCGTGCGGCTTTCGCTTTCGGCAACGCACGATAATTTCTCTGTTTCTCGCAGACCACACGTTTTAGTCTCTCTTTCCGGCCTTATACTTTACATGCTAAAAATCTGGATTTTTTTTTTTTATGCGATGTAGTTGGTGATTTTCAGTGAACAACGTTCGTTGCGTCGGCGACTAAAACCTAACAGAAGGGCCAAATCTTTAGTCGTCGGTGCTACAGGTTCGTGTGCACGTTGCGATGTTTTCTTTTCAAAAATGGCTGTCTGTTTCTTTGGGTCGTTCGAGAGGCAGACGTGTGGTTGGTGCAATTACCATCCCGCCTATCCTTGGTCGGATACGCTCGCCGCCCCTAGGAAGGTTGGGGTCGCCGTTCATGATAAAGTCACAACGTGTGCGTGGAAAATGCCATTTCGTGGGCTCCGTGGCTGTCAGCTTTCTTCAAAAGCGGGGGAAACCAAGGACGCGTCAACGGTCAGCCAAGAGGTGGGGATGACTCACGTCGTCCACGTGACCCCTCTGTTGCCCCCTCTCCTGTCTCCTCGACCTTCTCACGCTGTGTCTGTGCGTGACCCCCTTTGCTTATCCTGGTAAAGAAATCACCCTCCGTGCCCTCCCTCCGGGCAGTTTTGGGGCGGTAGCAACAGTAGGAGGATAATCGGTTTGGAACGGGAGGGCGACTAAACTAAGAAATAAAAAAAAAAAGAAGCGATGCGTCAGTCGGACAGGTGCGCGCTCTCGTTGGTGTCGTCTGTGGCTCTCTTCCGGTGACTGCGCTGCAGGAAAGGGGCGTGTCCGAGCACAAGGTAAACAAACCTTGTGCTTCGGCAACCCAGAACCCGGTTACGTTAGATGCGTGTCCATCGGGCGCTGGCCCGATACGATCTGAGACGGACCAGACACACTCGCAGCAAGCGAGAGAGGATAACGGTTTTTGGCACACTCTCAGCTTCTTTTCAAATCTCAAACATTGAAGCACCATTTGAGGGATGACACAGTGCTGGAGAAGAGCTAGTGTTGGGAGGTAGAAAGTGTAAAGTTGATTGTCGACATCTGCGTGCTCTCCTCGTGACCCCACAAACTGGGCGGCACTGCGACCTCCCTAACTATTCCCTTCCGACGACTTTCGTGGAGGGAAGAAAAATCCCCTCGAAGAATGCTGTCTTCGGTTTGAAGTCTCGCTGAATGGCGGAAACGAGTTGGATCTTGCTCCATTCTCGGGCTTTGAGCCAAGCAAACAGATTGCATATTAGAACAGCATTCCTCGTCAAATCCCTGAGCACATAATTTATACTAATTTTTGTAATTTTCTAGACTCCAACTCCTTTTTTAACTCGGTGCAACATGGCTGTCGAAGATTTTATTAGTGTGAAACTCAACTCGTAACCTTTACCCATGACCTTGACCGGGGTTCTAGGACTGACTGCATGTTTCTTGATTTCTCAAAAACTTTCGACAAGGTTCCTCACACGCTGCTTCTTCATAAACTTTGTAAGCTTAACATAGATCTTAGTATAATCGCTCGGGTATAATCATTTCTATCAGTTACCAATTTGTTCACGCTAACGGAACTAATTCTTCAACCTCACTCCGGTGTCCCACAAGGTTCCGTACTGGGCACACTTTTATTTCTTATATATATTATCGATTTTCCCACGCATGTATCCTCTTATGTTAGCCTATTCGCTGAGGACTGTGTATTTTATAAGGAAATCATTAACGACTTACATATCTTCGCTTCAGATCGATAGTAACAACATCAGCCATTGGTGCTATGATTGGATATTGAATTTTACACCTATAAATGTAGATCCAAGAAAGTGTCCCATTAAAATAACTGTTGTCCCTCCTACTGCATTAATAACACCACCTTGCTTTCTGGGTCAACCTATAAATATCTCGGTGTTCATATAACCAACGATCTCTCCTGAAGCATCCATGTGGAATATATCACTCACAACGCTAATCTCTTATTAGGCTATCTCGGAAGGAATTTTTCTGTTGCCCCTGTTTTACTTAAACTTCTCTTATATAAAATTTTAGTGCGCACCAAACATGGATATGCAGGCTCTATCTGGAACCCCGGCATCACTCTAGCATCGTTCATTGAATCCATTCAAAATCGCTCCTCACATTTCATACTTTCTAACTATCAGCGTACAGCCAGTGTCACCTCCATGAAAGCATTTCTATACTTGCCCAACCTCTCCTTTCGTAAAAAAATGACTCGCCTCTGCTTATTTCACAAGATTTATCACTCTAACCCAGCGCTTGGAACCTAGTTTTGTTCAGAAGCGTCATACATATCTCCGCGTCCGTGCTGATCATCCACTAAAAGTAAAAATCCCCTTCTGCATCACCTTTTATGACTCCTTCCTACCCTTGACCTCCTTCGACTGGAATCACCTTCCTGCATCCATAGTCTCACTTACTCACACAGCAGATTTTAAAACGGCCATCACTAATGTTCGGCACAATGTTCCATAGCGATTCTGTACCTTGTTTTGTTTTTAGAGCGCAGCTCTTAGGCGCCCGTTTCCAGCGCGGCGTCGGCGTAACCGCGCGGTGCATTATAAGAAATGTCCCCCCCCCCCCCTCCCCCTGAGGTTACGTGACCCCGAGGTCACGTGATCCCCTGTGGTCACGTGACCCCCCTCCCCTCGGGAGGAGATTGAAGAATGAGAGGAGGAGGTGAGGAGGAGGAGGGGCATACCCTCCTCTCCGTACCTTCCCCCCCTCCTCCTCAGGAGCTGCGCTCTAATTCGGCATTACAGGGAGTTGTACACGGCTTTCACTTTTTCGTGTTTGTTTTCATTCTTCAATTTGTATTGATGTATAATTAGCCCACTCCTCGTACTGATGTATAATTATCCCACTCTTCAGGCCCTGAGAGTATAATAAATTAAATTAAACTAGTGATATAATGCCAGTGTGATGGCTCGCACGTTTATGCATGTTTTTCTTAAATGTTCTCTTCCTGCTTGAGCCAGAAGCCTGGCCTGCAGTATATAGTTATAATAATAATAATTGGAAAAGCACCTAAAAATATGGGGACACGAGAAAGAGGTAACCGAGCGCTTGGTCCTGTCCCTTTTTTCTCGTGCCCCCATATTTTTTAGGCACTTTTCCAGACACGTAATAACTAGCCCACTTGGCCATTTTACCATAATAATATTAGTAATGTTTATTTGCATTTGGAAATATTGATGGAGCGACAGGGAAAAAAGCTTCCAAGTGAAGTTTGACGAGTTCATCAACAGCAGTACAAGCAATACAAAATACACGTGCAGAAAAAACAAGATTATTATGGCAATAAAGCTAAGAACGAACCAGTAGCCAATTCACACTATATGTTCAAATATATGATAAAAAAACAAGCGTAACCAACAGAAAGCGAGTCGAAGTTCTTGTCTATACAGCTGTTGAGGAACTTCTATACCTAAGCAAGTCGGGGGTCTTGTGTATACAGCTGTTGAGGAATTTCTATATCTAACTACACACGACGGGCGGGTATTCGAGAATGTCCCATGATGCTCGGTTGTGCCGTGCCGCAGGGAGTGGGCTGAGCTGTGGGCGCATCGAGCAGCGCTTCCCGGAGCAGGACTGGGAGGACACGCCGTTCATCGAGGGCATAGAGTCCTTCTGCCAGCCCCAGGGCTGGGCCCTGGTGACGGCCCGGCGCCAGCCCAGCTTCTTTGTGGCGGTGCTCACGGACATCGACGCCCAGCGCCACTACTGTGCCTGCCTGGCCTTCAACGAGCCCGTGGCCCTGACCCCGGCCCTGAGCCGGCCGGACGAGGAGGACGAGGAGGAGGAGGAGGGGGCCCTGCTGGTGCAGCACCACTCCCTCATGTACGCCCCCAAGTGCCTGGTGCTCGTCTCGCGGCTGGACTGCGTGCCGGCCTTCCGGGTGAGACTGCCACGGGAGGACGGGTACAGTGCCAGAATGTCCCCACGCAAAGATTTACGAGGTTTATTTCGCTGCAAATAGAAACTACGCTTCACCCAACGCTCGTTCTCCGCCCAAATGTAACGCTAGCGGCTCAAACCAGTTGCCAAAGTTGCAGAACAAACCATTACTTTAGTTAAAAGTTAGGAGCGATTTTCTGAAATTTTTTGTGGAAAAATGGGCAGAAGTATGGCCCTGCTCAAGGAGGCCTCGGCGTAGCACCGACCAAGTCCCGAGGTTGCGGAGGGACGTTTGGAGATGCCTTTATGCAACAAGTACAGCAATTAGCACCAGTGGCAATAATGTTTCAACTTTGGATTGGCATAGTTGTCGGCCAGAGAAGGCAAAAAGGAAGTGAAGATGTTTTCTGACCAAGTATAGAGATGTCGGACAGTGCCAATTGGAAGTGCTCGTTGTTCCTATCCGCATTTGGGGTCGAGACTGCCGTGTGGTCCTTGAGCCTCTGCGAGAAAGAGACAGTGTGAAGGGGGGGGGGGTCTGACGGTCCTTTACTCTGGTCGTGCTGGGGGCCACGTGGAACTTCCTCGCGTGCCGTGGGTTGCCAACCGCTGACCTATAACTCCTGAATTAAATAACGGTTAGTTATTAAACTTTGGCATCTGGTTCGTACAACTAGCATTACATTTGAACAGAGAATGAGCATTCAGTGACGTATAATTTATATTTGCCGCGATAAATACGCCGTAAATTATTTTTTGGGGGTACACGCTGTACCTTGCTGTGCAAGTTGGTGCATTTTCGGGCACAAATCAAATAATGGTTAGCCATTATTTGATTCGCCCCATTCATCAACATTGTCTCATTTTCACTGTTTTATTTGTTTCAGGGCTGTAGAAGTTGCCGTTCAAAACTGGTTCGGTCGTGTAGTTGCTTGTGTCGATATGCGATTAAGCTACATTTTTATGAACTCTTTCCCGACCGTGCCCATAGGCCATCGATCCCCAGTGATCGATGGTTTCCAAGCGTCGTTAAGAAATTAAATTCAGTGCGGAGAATTACGTTGCACAATCTCTGAGCTAGCCGAAGAATTGTAGTTTTGGTTTTAACGTAGGCTTGAACTTTATCACAAGCTGGTGGGCCGTCAAAAATAGCCCTGGGAACGGTGGTTGCACACATGGCTAACTGCTCGCAGCAGTCTTTGTAACCAAGATCGCATTATTTACATAATTCAACTGTATTGTGGCATATTTTCGAGACCACAAGAGCTCTGGGGGCACTTGAAATGATTTTACAGGCGTTGCTTAACAGACGGTTGTCGATAGGCCTCACAACAATTTCCAGGGCTGTCCTGAGCCGGCATGTACGTTTTATGTTCCCAACAAGGCGCACTAAAATTCTAAGTACGAGAGAACTGCAATCGAGGCTACGACAAAACCAAGGTAGAACACAAGAAAAGCATTCTGTTGGGCAGGTGAGGTGTACTCTCTCTGCTTCACCAATATAAGCATTCCTTCGTTGAAAAGCACAGGTGTTACAGAGGCTAACTCTCTGACGAACCCAAAACAGACAGTGTCAGTTGCAGCACACTAACTTTCAGGAGGAATAGTTGGGGGTGTGGGGCACATTTTGTATATTGGGTATTTTTCTTATTTGTCTTTTAATTGAACATAGCTGTAGAAGTTTCGGTGTTTTACGCTTTCTGCACATACATTGTATTTTCAGGAAATAAAATTTGAAAATCTTTTTTTCCACGTTATAGTAGTTTCTGTTTCTTTTGAAGGAACAACTAATTTTCCACATTTTGATGTGTCATATTGCTCCTCCATAGGCAAGTTGGTTAGGAAAATAAAAGTGTTTTGCACGGATCCCTCTAAAATTGTTACTTTTCCCGTGGTCAGGAAAGGGTTAATGCACCAGGCTACAGTTTCATTTACTGGGAAGTTTGTTTCAATAACTTTTATGAATATTTTATACTGTCTCGATGTGCTGCTATTGCTGAGAATGGTTCAGTTTCCAATGCCGTTGTGTGAACATTAAAATTTTTAAAGAGTAGTTTAGAATTATATGCTGTTCAATATGCCCTTTCAGGTTTATAAGATTTCTTCTTTTTAAAGGATTGGCAAAGTTGCAGTTGCACTCGGGGTACTGTTTAGCAAAAATAATAAGGCACAATTTCGTTTTCGGTGAAAAAATATTCATACTTTTGCGTAAACCATCCCACTAAATGTCACGGTTTTTTGTCAATCAAAGAATAAAAAGAGCATTAGAAGTTGACTCAAGGAGCTTAGAAATTTGAGGATCACATTTTTGGGTGGGTGAATGCCATGACCTCTTAACCACTCTAGAGAGAGAACAAATTTCTCCTAGTGCAAGGTCTGACTCCCGCATTGTATCTGTCTTCCCTCTCTGAACTGTGCAGAACTGCCTGGGCATCATCTACACAGTGTACATAGACAATCTGCCTGTCCAGATTGAAACCCTGGTGGGCAACGTGTTGGGATGTGTACAGGTTCCGGCTGCCGGTGAGTTGTCCACGGGTTCTGTTCTCTGCCTTTTTTTTCTCTCCTCGTCGTTGCAAAATCGACTTGGGGCATGTCTTCCCCGATTTTTTCTTTTCGTTTTTTACTTTTTGCTATTTACCTAGCTTTGATATCTCTCGCTTGCTCATTTGCTCTTTGTCTTTCTTCATATTACTACCAATTTTTTTTCAGCGAGCTCGTTGTCGTTTAGGTATGGGATTTTTTAGAAATGATGCGACTGCCATTTTCACTTCCCGCTTGGGGGGGGGGGGGCACTGGGAGGTACCGGTGACACCTCAGAATTCTGGGCAGCCCATAAGAATGCCACAAAGTGATCCGAGTGCAGATCTGAGTAGGAGTGAATTGGGTGAGCCAAGGAGGTGACCCTGGCTGGGCCCTTGCAGGGGGGCCTCAGGTGCGCTTCTCCATCGGTGCCGGGGACAGGCAGGCGCTGCAGCCCCCCCTCAGCAGCCTCCTCCCCATCACGGGCTGCGTCGTCTACGAGCTGTTCCAGCAGCTAGGTGAGACCTCCCTCTGAACTCAAGAGCTCTGTTCTGCAGAATAGCAGCTGCTGTGCACGGTCCGGTCACTCGACACGTTTTGCCCGAGAAAGGTCGCTTCAAAAACAATGCAACAAAAATATGTATAAGAACGCACGAGAGAAATGGGCCTGTACTCTTTCACCAATCAAACGGCACGCACGGGGCATTCTCTGAGTCTCGAGAGCTGCAACTCTAACAACGACAATGCCGCAAAGTTCATCGTGCAAGTCTGTTGCCCGGATTAAAAAAGTGGTTGCTTAAATATATTCATGCGCTCATCTAAAGCGACCGCCACTTTCGGGTGATGGAAGCGCTGTGAACGGCAGCTTTTTGACTTTGACTGAGAATTCTAGATATGTAAAAAGTTATAACCAATTAAAACAAAATATATTGCAATTGTTGGCAGGTTTTTTTTTTGTGTTATTATTAGAGGCTGCATGTTTGCCCTGCATCTTTAGCATCATAACTGGTGCAGTGATCTCATGGCAGCGTCTTTTGCTCCAAACTGTGCCAAAGGGCTTACCTTGCTACTTCCTGCTACATTTATCCAAAATGTGAAGATTCTGCATCAACATTTTGCATAAACTTGATTTCACTTCACCCCTATTTCACCCCTATACAGTAGAACCTCGTTATAACAAAGTTGAAGGAGCGATCATAATTATTTCGTTATAACTATTAGTTTGTTATAGCCAATGTCCATTTCTTCCCTATTAGCATGCAAGGGGAATTATGTTTGCTTTGTTATATCCATTAGTTTGTTATATCCCATTTTGTTATAACGAGGTTTTACTGTACTTCTGGATTGTTATGGTAGGCTCGTGCAAATTTTCTGAACTTTCGATCATTGCCGAAAATAACATGCACTACAATTTGATTTCATCTCCCTGTCAAACACTGAGAGTACTCAGACCTCTTGCAATGTTGAGTCATGTTCGCAGTCTGCCCTGGTGGGTAAGTTAGCTTTGTTCAGTGCACTTCTTCCTGCTCTCTTGTGTACTGCAGTGAAACAAACGGGAAGTAAGCATAGCGATTTTGCTCATCTTACTTTGCCGCAGTGCACCCGCGTGCTAAGAGAAGAGCACTCCCCCAAAGTGTGGGATCCATTAAACACGCAGGCATCGGGTATATTAAAAAGAAAAAGGGGGAGAACTTGGCGAGTTACCGTAATATCCCGAGTCATCGCCCATCCCCGAGTCATCGCCCACCCCATTTTTTGGGCCAATATCGATTTCCGAAAAAACACCGAGTCATCGCCCACCCCTTCAAATACCCCAGCGCGGACTCTGCGATCCGCGAACACTCATCCTACCCGAATGACGCGGTCGCGGACCTTACAGTTGGAGGACGTCCGTGACAAAGTAAAACGAAGGAGGGAAAGACACTTCTTTTTGTTTACGCATTTCCTCCGTGAGCGACCCCAAAGTGGTCGTGTACCCGTGCGAAAAGAAAACGATGGAGATAACAAAATAAGAGTTCGTTAACGTAACCGCGGAGTGTTAGGTCAAAGTCTGTCTCCGCCGAAGTAAGGTCCCCGCGAACCCGCTCCTTCTTCCCGCCCGTCGCGACCGCGGTTGTGCAAGATTTTAGGCGAAGCCAAAGCGTAAATAAAGCTTTGCTGGAACGTCCTACACAGACGTTTGCAGAGCGTCCCAACCGTGCCTTGATAGCCCGCCGTGCACGGACGCACGTATGTACGCACCAAACAAGTTGCGCAAGAGCTTGCAATTGACAAGGCGCCCGACTTGGCCCGACGCCAAAGTATTTGCCAACGCGACCGCCGGCTTTCCCGCTTTCCCAGGATTGCTCTTGGTCGCTTCTTTGGTCCGCTCGCTCGCTCGCTCGCTCGCTCGTTGCACCTGGTCGGTTTTTCTATTTTCTTGTAGACTTTTCTTTCTTTTTTTTTTTACTAACTAGGAGAACATAATGGTGACATTCTTTCACGGAACAAACGTTCGCGCTATATGCAGATCGGCGGTGTTTCTAGCGCGTATGCAAGCAACGGACTTCGCTATAGTAAAATATTCTTCCGTGAGCATTTTTTCTATAAAACAATGAAACTAAATCGAGTTTTGAGTTTGATGTATCTCTTGTGCTTCAGGGCTAGATACGCAAAGAAAAATAGGCGGTTTTTTCCGCTTTTTTTTTTCAAGTGTTTGTGCTCACCCACCGAGACATGGCCCACCCCACTTTTTTAACGAATTTCAGGCGGTAGGGGGGTGGGCGATGACTCGGGATATTACGGTAATCTAACAACTTTACTTTGCGGTAAAAGTTTCAGAATAAAACTACCGCTATTACTTATGATAGAGTGCAGTATTCTGGCGATATCTTTTTTAAATTCGATAGTAAGCGAGGGTGCTTGCAAAAAGCTTTCATGAACGGCTCTGTAGGTTGATTCTTAATTTCAACTACTATCTTGTTCAGTTATTATGTTTATCATGTGTTGGAGGTGCAGTCAATAAAATAACTAAAAGTAAATTAGATGAAGCAGTGAAAGAAAGCTGGGAATAACCTTACTTAACGAGTCCGGGTGGATTGTTTGTAAAATGTATATTTATCATTCACATGCCGATTTTGCTATCAAGTTCTGCGTATAAAACATCATTTATGTTCATAATCCAATGACAAAAGTTTTAATTTTATTAAGACTTTCAGAACTTGAATGAAACATCAGTTTAGGTGCTCAAGATCCCTCTAATCTAACATTATTTCGTAAGAATATACTATTTGGTTTAGATATATTTCGTACCTACAACAGCTATTCACAGCAATTTGTACTGTTTTTCATCAGTCTGCATCTTGTTGCCATGCCAAGTGTTCCTATGGGCATCCAAACAGCTATTTTTGTGTTTGAGGGAATCAAACCTGCCATGCAGTTGATGCTAAAAAAAGGTCGCACAGAAGTGAAAAGGTAAAGTGGGCATGTCTTTTAGTTAAGTAGGCCAACACAAGAATCTTAACATCATGATGTTAAGATTCTTGAAGAATAGAGGAAACTTTAAGAAATAATAGAAGAAATAGAAAAAAAGGTGACAGACAAGAGTCTCAAACTTGCCTAGCAACGTTTATTTCGTACATACCCTTCTTCCAAAGTTGTCTACAACATCAAAAGGAGAAACAAAAAAACACTGTTTTTAAGGTGATTTCAATTCTAAGGCAGTTCATTACGAACACACAAGGGCACGAATCCAAACAGTAGCAGGCCCAGGAGGGAAGCCCGACCAAAACAGTTCAAACTAAACCTAAGTCCTTTGATAAACAGATTGATTCTTGCAAAAATAGAAGAACAATGTCAGTCGAGATCACATAGCTTCCAGTATACAAGCAATGCAAAAAGACTGATAAACTTAAGGCAATTTAAAAATTTAGTTGTTTGCTTTATCTTTTTGCTTTAAAACAAAAACAACGCACCAACAGAAAAGAAAAAGAACTGTCATACAATTTTAGCTACAGTTTCAGGAAACTTTTTGACTGGTTTCCGAGTCTCATTGGAAGCTTGACTGATGCAACTGCAACACGCCATAATCCACATCTTAGAAGTCAGCTTTTACTTTCCCTCCTAGGCACGATCACCAGCACAAAATTCGGCTGCCCTCATGTCGCACCAAACAGCATTTACAGTTTCCTTTAAATCTTTATATTAAATCTGCAAATCGGGCACAACATTGCCACTTTATTGCGTAATGGGATAAGTAAGGCTTTTGCCCTAAAAAAGCAATATTTACATTCTAATGTAGTACATACGGTTATTAAAATATGTGGAATAAGTCTTTGCAAGCACTCTTAAATTGACTGCATTCAGAGATGTTTACCACAGTCGCGGGTAGGTCATTCTGTTCACTGTCAGCCACTGTTTAAGTGGTGCTCAAATTAATGGGCGGGTGTGAGAGGAGCTCTCGTTATTGGCAGGTGATGGAGCAAGCTAATCTTAAACTTGCCGACCACCAACCAATATGCGTAGTGTTCCACTTTCAAGCTGCACAGTGAACAGCTTGTAAAAGAGGTTGGCTTCATAATTTGTGGGAAGGTTTCTCAGCTGCCATTCAAGGTACTAGCTTAGGGTGCTTTGGGGCCAAGATGTTGGATAGAAGGTGGTCCTTTGTGTCTTTCGATTGTGATAGGCTGGTAGGGATTCTGACGCCACCTGGTTTCTCTTGGCACCAGGTATTCACAATGTGGTGACGCTGTTCTGTGCTGCCATGACGGAGCTCAAGATCCTTCTCCACTCGCGAAGCTACAGCCGCCTGAACGACGCCTGCTCCGCACTCACGAGTCTCATGTTCCCATTTAAGTATAGGTGAGTTGCTCTTGTTTCCTCTGCAGATTCTGGTCTCCTGCGGAGTGGGTCGAGTCCTTTCAGACACACATATAGTTAGTTGGCTGCCTCCACACGTACGCTTGAATGTGGACACTCAACACTGAGGTTATCCCTCGCTGAACAGTCAACACTGGTAAGAATAAATGAAAGTTTTCTGTTTTAGGCACAATTCAGGCACGCGGTGCTTGAGCGTAATTTGGGTCTAGTGAATCCCACCTCAACTGTGTGTACCAGTTTTTGATTTTGAGCAGCTGGTTTGATCCCGTGGCTGGAGTGGATGGACTTACAGTCCCCGTGGCGTTCCTTGCAGTCATGTGTACATACCCTTGCTTCCTGCGAGCCTGGTGGAGTTCCTGAGCACCCCCACTCCCTTCATCATGGGTGTCCACTCTTCCCTGCGGTCCGAAGTGGCAGAACTGGTAAGGCACTCTTTTGGGACGCCAGCTTTAAAGGAGCTGTTCCTGCCGTAGGAATTGCGGATGCCATTTTTGGGTTGGGTCTAACGAGGCCTCTCTGGCTGTTGTCTGGTTCCAGCTGGACGTGCTATTGGTAGACCTGGACGGCGGTTCGGTGTTTGTGCCGGAGTGCGTGACGGTCTCCATGCTTCCCGAGCCCCTGCACTCCCAGCTGTACACCCAGCTTTGCATGGTGAGCTTGCTAGTAGTGGATGAGTTCCTGGTATTGCAGCACGATGCCCTCTCGATTCTGTGACGGGAGGTGAGAAACTGCATAGAACAACGAACGAGCCTCGCTGGTCGGGGCACGTTCCAACCAGTCAGATGAACCCAGAACCTGCTTACCGTGTTGGAAGGTAGCTCTGAGCTAGGTTCATGGAACCGTAGGCTGCTGTTGTCTAGCGTCTCCTCGAATTTCAATAGTTTGTGTGTCGAGGCTCGTCTCATTGATCGAGATGCATTCAAGGTTACAGGCTTCGAGGGGTAATAAAAAGCGGTCTGGAGTCGAAAAAAAAAAAAAAAGAAAAGAAATTACGTGAGCACACTTAAGACTGCTTACATGTAGGAAGGCGAAAGCATTATAGTCCCACGGGAGATATGTTTTCGACTAATGTTTCTACACGTATTAAACTTTAGAACGACATATGGGACGACGTCGAGGACGACTTCTTAGAGATCGATGTCAAGTACGGCGTCTAGGACGATTGAACGGTATTAGAGTACACGTATGAAGAAGAGAGAGGAGGCAGAAAAGAGTGCTAATACCGTTCAAATGTCTAACTACCAACGAGCCCAGTTATCAACCCTTTTACGTCTAGGACGACCTCTCGGACGACCTTGAGGATGACGTCTAGGACGACTTTTAGCACGATATCTAGGACGATGTCAAAAATGACACCTAGAGGACACCGTCTAGGACAACGTCGAGGACAACGTATAGGACGACATCAAGAACGACTTTTATAACGACCTCTAGGACGACGTCAAGAACAATGTCTAGGATGACCTCTAGGACGACGTTAAAGACGACGTCGAGAATGACACCTAGCGTACTTGCATGGAAGCCCGTGGAAGCCGTCGTTGATGTAGACGCTGCTGCCGATGTCGAGGCTGTACATGTAGATGGGATCGCCTCACAGTCCATTGCACGAAGCACACAACGAGCACAGATGAAGTCCGAAGCGCACTTTTTGCAGACGGTGCTCTGGGGTGACATCACGCTGATGACGTACAGTGACGCTTGATGGCGTCACACTGATGACACAATGACGTATTTTTATAGCCATATTCCAGTCACTACGCCAAGGATGCTAGTTTTTCACGTAATGTGACAAGTGAGGTCGTCCTAGAGGTCTAGGATAATTTCTAGGACAACCGCGAGGACGACGTTAAGGCAATGGGACAAGTAGGGTCGCCCATTGAGCGGTGCATGCTGCTCAGTCACATTTTTATGGCCTTTTCCTCTCTATTTTTGCTCAATGGGACTAGTAATAATAAAATGTAGACTCTGCGAAGCGGATGCCCCAAATACTAGTTTTTTGTCGGAGTGCAAAAAATTTAGTTTTAACACTTTTCCGCAAAATCCTCCCAAGCGCTCATTTGACTGCGCAGTGGTTACGCATTGTTTTCCGACTCCGTTCGCTCATTGGTTGTCCGTCGGTTGTCGCCCAGGTTCTGCGACCAGAACTGATGTCGGCAGACGACGCATTCCCGCCGACGCAAGCGGGCCTGTCGCAACCTGCCATGCTGGACAAGGAGATCCGGGCCATCTTCCTGCGGACGTTCGCCCAGCTTTTCCAGGGGTACCGTTCCTGCCTGACCATAGTGCGCATTCATCCGCGGCCCTTCATCACCTTCCACAAGGTACGAGCGTCCGTTTCAGCTTAGAAGTACAGCTTTTGGAGCTTGGAGGAGCGACGTCGACTGGCACCGAGGTGCAAACCCACGTGGTGCATGTTGAAGGCTTTGGGCTAGCGGTAGTACCATGCCGGCTAAATTTCTTATCTGCAATGAAAACGTCGGACGGCCACTGGGGTTGACTAACTTTCCGCCGCCTAAACACAATTACTTTACGGTCGTGCGGGTAATTGTTGTGGTGCTCGCAATGCGTCCCGGACTGGCGTGTTGGCCGCTACCTCATTTTGACTCGTGGATTTCTTGCTGGAGGCGTCACAGCCGTGTAGTGCTGGTGGTGGATACAGCACTTTCCAAGCGGCCCACAAGTATAGCGGCCAGGGGTTTCTACGACACCAGCGACGCCCGTGCCCGGTTGTTTTCCTCTTGCCTCTAGGACACCCATAGATTTATGATTTCTTGATTCTATATTTGGGTAGCTTCCAATGACTGCCAGTATGGGATGCTCAGCTCACCAGGCAATATAGTTGCTCCTAACACCATTTTTACTTTCATAATGAACAGACATTTTTCCCCGGAAAAATTGACACATATTTGGGGGGTGCGTTCATTACGCAAGGTAAAATTTTTGCCTTTACGCACTTGGTGCAAATGTCATATTAGATGCCAATATGACACGGCAAGGTACCGTGGCACGCCTCCACTCATGGAGGCGTACCCACGGCTGGTCGGGGGTGCGCCACAGTAGACATGGTCTATAAATTGCTAACTTATTTAGGGCGCTTTCGGCGTGCCTTTTGCCTAAGGAAAAGCGCCCTACAAAGCTCACTCAGCATGGAGAGTGACACGACCGTTCTTAGGCCTAACCACTTTCACGATTTCACTGTCCGAAAGCAGACCACAGACGATGGCATGTTTGTTGACACAATGCATCCGCTAGGCAAAGAATGTCCGCAGCTGGGCAATTCCTCGATGCAAGCTTGTTCAAGTGCGCGCACCGCACGGTTTCACGGTTGATCACTTCCGCAACTACGCACTTGGAGCCATTACGAGAGTGGCTTGACTTGGCTCGACTTGGTCTGACCGCTTGGCGGCAAAAGAAAATTGGTTTGGTGGGCTAAGTGGATGCAATGCAAGACTCGCAGAGCTGAAAATTGGAGGTGCGTTCGTTACGCGAGGGGAAAAAAAAGTAAAAAAATGTTGGTACCCGTTCAGGGGGGTGCGTTCATTATGCGAGTAAATATGGCACATATGCTTGTACAAACCAAGAATTGAAACTTCGAAAGCACTACTAGATAACCGGCATCAACACAAGCAGGACTGCTGAGTTGTGCGATATGTGATCACCTGCCAGTATATACTAAAAGTGTATAATTCTAACAACCATCCAAGACAGTTTATACTCGACCATTTGCAACGGCCCAATTAGATAAATTTGGGGAAACACTTGCGAGCATAGATTGGAATGAGATTTATGAAAGGGAATGTGCTAATGATGCCTACAAGTTATTTCTGGACATATTTCGAGTAGCCTTCTACACCAACACCTCTCCATTAAAAAAATAAGTAATGCCAAAAAAGAAAAAAAAAAAAAAAAGCTAGAAGACCGTGGATTACCCGAGATTTAATTAAGAATATGCTAACAAAATGCAATATGTATAAAACATTTTTGACAACTTGAGACTCTCATTGTCCAAAAGTATTTCAGAAATATAGAAACCAGCTTACAAAAGAGCCGTGTTAAGCTAGAAATTATAATTAATATTTTTGTTAGCTTTTGGGCACAGTGATACAATGTGGAAGAAATTCAACTCTGTCCTTGATCGCTCAAGTTGGCCGACCTGCATTGAGGGTCTTATCAGCTGTGGTGTTTATTTGAACGGTATTCCCCTCGCGAGTGCCTTCAATTACTATTTCACAAATGTCACTAATTGTGCAACTACTATTGCTCGTGCTTATGATGCAGCTGAATTTAGGAACAATAACTCTTTATCTGTAGGCCCTGTAACTGAAAGCAAAATAATGTCAGTGTTTCTGGGACAAAGAAAGGGCAACAGCTGCGATATGGATGATAATGAAATTAGACCAATGAAATATGTGATAAATTTGCTTTTGTCCCATTTGGCTCGTATCTTTAACTTATGCATTCTCCATGCATCGTTTTTGGGCTCTGCCGATGGTGATTTTTCAGATCAAAGGGAATACGAAGCAAACGGTTCCTTTGTACGAGTTTAAAGCGAACGATTTGCAGCCGTCAATATTGATGGTAGAGAAACCTTGGCACTAAGAAAAAAAAAGGAAGAACATGACAAGGTATGAAAGGTTCTGTACCAGGATAGTTGACCAGCTTGCCTGCACACTTACTCTTATTTCAATACAGTAATGTCTCATTAAAGGGAAGATGGGGCACTTCTACATTTGAGAAAAAACGCTTGAATTGCGTTCATTTGGCCTTTAGAATAACAGATATCAAAATTATATTTCAATGCGACGCGCCGGAGAGCCACAAGAGCAATTTCAAAATAGGGCTGAAGCCCCGCCCCCCTAGCCTTGGGCAGCCAAAGATCCGTCGATGACGTCACGGACAGCGACTGTCTTTCGCGTTTTTCTCGCGTTTAACAATACTTACGCAGCGAATGGTTTGGGTATTCGGGTTCACGGGGTAAAAATACACTAGAATTCACTTCTAACTCATTTTTTCCAAGAAGCTCCGTAGCTTCCCTTTAAAGGGGCCCTGCAATCATATTTAAGCGTCTACCTTTTTTGCGGTTTCCACGTCTCTTGGGGTTGGGGCAAGCTAGCGGGCACGGAAAGAGTAACTAAATATCAGTGCGTCATATTTTAACCGGACGACGCGGAAACCTCCTCCACCGACGAGGGCGACCCGCGGTACCGAAAGCGCGCAAAATGTGACGTCTTTGGTCCTGGGCTTGTCACTGGTCAAAGCCGCTAAGAGCTTTTTTTTAAATCGAGATACAAAATATAAGTGTCGCGAACCGTTTCAATTATGTATGAAAGTAGTTTTTGTTCACTATTTTAGGTCAGAAAAGAAACAAATGCAGTTTAGAAAGTACGGAAACGAGAAATGACCCGTCGACATACCCGCCACCAAGCGGCGAAAAAAAAATGGCGCATACTAGAAAAGGCTAGTGGGATGAGGCTACGACAAACGAGGAGCGTAGAAAGGTCCCGGATGTACGCGGCGGCGCTGTGGTCGTATACCGGCTCAAGAATCCGACCGGTTCCGAGCGTTCCGAAGGCCTTCGGCGCGGGCCCTGTTGGCGATTTGGCCATTTGGCGGTGCGTCTGCAGGAAGTGGCTCCCGTTCTGAACTGATCTTTACCTCGTGTTTGCTGTCGTTTGTGGCCAATGAAATGTTATGCCGAATTAGTGTTTAGTCACGCTGAAAATGCAATACGAGCTGCCCTGGCCGCCCGCTTCATACAGCATATCCAACACGTGCTTTAGTGGCGCCCTCTCGAGCCGTCGACACGGAGTGCGGCAGCCGTGTACGCTCGATGAGCTCACTACTCCTCCTCTAGTTCAAGGCCACTCAAGGCAGGACCTACGACGTCATGAAGGAGGTTATTTTTTGCTTGTTTTTGTAATTCTAATTTGCCTATAACTTTTAAAATAAAGCGAAATTTGAGAAAAGAAAAGTTGGATTAAGTTACTACGTTCAGTACGCTCTGGTTCAGGGCAAATTAAAAACCAGTCAAAAAGTCATTGCAGGGCCCCTTTAAGGGGAAGCACTATGCAAAAAACAAAATTTCTGCAAAAAGGTCGATTTTGAGAAATGGCTATATTTCCATCCACCAACACCTACAGCAGTGGTCTCAATAGAGAAACTTTATCTCAACTAAAGTGTTCCACTATGATTCATTTTTCATAAATTTTTTTAGTGACCATTGTAAATGGAACCTTGTCTGACTAGAGCCTTATTTTTAAAGAGATTCCTTTGGGGCCCTATTTATTCTTATTACAAAAGGTAATAAGAAATGTGCTCCAGTATCCAAGAGGAACCCTCAATCACTATCATAGATGAACTCATTTAGAGATGCAATTACTTCTTAATTTTCGAGTGTCTGCTAACAGATTTCGGCATCTGCTCCAAGGGTGTCAGTGACTGCTTCTAACCAACGTTTTGCCTGCTACAAAACCTGTTGCAAAAGGTCAAGTGTCACTTCCATCACTGGGAACTGTTTAGGGGGTTTAATGTATTGACAGTTCATAACTTATCTCCGCCTACTGACTTATCTCCACCTACAAAAAGAAAATATACATGCATGTTGAGCCAATTTCAGAATTTTCAATTTTGACAAAACGTAATCCTGGGTATGAAATTCAAAGAAAGGAATACTGGCGGGTGACCGTTAATAAAACTTCATATGAAGAGCAAATGCTGATGTACACTTTATCAAAACTGTTAGATCACCTTGTAAGTAACAAGCAAGGTACACATAGTGCTTCTCTTAAACAAGTATATACAACCATAGACTTTGACATAAACAAAACAAAATTGTGCCTGACGTAGGCTTTTAGTGTTGTTTGTTGTGGTTGGGTATAAATTGTGTGCTTCGTTTTGCCTTTACCCTTGCTGTATGTTTTCCTAGTTCGAAAGCGTTAACTATCTCTTCGAGCGAGTCGACGTCATCAGTTTGAAGCGCGAAAACGGCACCTTAAATGTCTTCTCTGAGTGGAGGCTGTGCCTAGCTGTGAAACCAAGTGAAAAGCCTATACACGGCACCTAGTTTCCTTGATCCCAAAAGAGCGAAGTAAAGCTGATGTTTTTTCGGCTTCGGTCTCATTGGCTGGCGTGCTTCGATGAGGCTCCCATTGGCCGCTGTGCGTCAGTTTCAACAATCGCTCACCCGAAGGCGCTGCGTGTCCGCGTGGCAGTGGCTCCACCGCTCCACGCCCAAGGTCGGCGCACCGTACGCCGCAGACAGAAGGGGGCGAAGAGTGGCATGCATGCTTTTGCATTCGCAACTTGTAAGAAGTGCTTAGGTGTACCTCGAGCCTTTTTAATACCACTTCTCTACAAAATCAATAAAGCTTGAACAAACATATTTTTTTTTACAGATTTTCTTTTTAGTAATTTATTGCTTTACATAAACTACGGTGGGTTTGTGTTTATCTTGCTGAATATATATACTGCTTTACTATACACATATATATTACATGTAACTCTTTTTCAGGTCATATCCACTGTCTTTCTACTACTAAAATGCACTTTATTATGATTTTCATAATGTTTGTTTCAAAAAGTTTTTGTAGTAAATATTTTCCTCCCTTTAATATTGTTGCCGAAATTCGAATGAATAAAATTTTTTTCCCACGTGTGATTTGTTTTGGTTTTGGGGACATTCTTAGTTTGTGGCATCCTTTGTATATAGGTAGTCAACTTTAGTCGGCCACTAGAAGGTGCCCCGAAGTGGTGGATTGAGGCAGTGCATCCGCACGCAGGCGGCCTTCCTGGGACAGCGGGGCTTCACGGAGAGCGAGTTTGTGGTGAAGCTCCTGGACTGCATGTTCTTCAACACCTTCGTGGCCGAGCGGGGCCCTCCGTATCGGGTGTGCGACGTCTTCGACGAGGTGGGTCGCTTTTCCTCGCCCGCTTCCCACGTCGGTCGAGTGCGGAGAGAGCTCTACGGGTTCTCTACTTGGCTCTGGAGTACAGCCTCGTGTGTGAGAACAAACTTTTTGTTTACAATACTGTATTTACTCGAATCTGACGCGCACCTTTTTTCCGGGAAATAGGTCCAAAAATTGCATGTGCGCTAGAATCAAGTGCGACCCAAAACTGCGCTACCATATCGCCATCGACATTTCTAAATGGCTGCTCAATCACGCGCTGAGAACGCTGAGAAGCTGAGAGGCCTAGAGTAGCCAGCTCGTGTGTTTCTTGCTTTCGTATCAGCGTTCACCATGATGCTTGATTCAAAAGAAAAGTGATATTGTGCGTGGAGAGCGATGGAAATCGGGCCGCATCACGTGCGATGGCCAAAAGACACGTGGTGCACGATCCCGTCTGCCATGGTTATCAAGGCCTTCAAGAAGTACGGAATTTCTAACGCTGTGGACGGCACCGAAGATGAAATGATTTGGGCCGTTGACAGCGATAAGGAGTCGTCCGACAACGATGACGAGTGATGCATACCGCCGCTCGGGCGTTGCACCGGACCGTCGTCGCGATGACGACCTTGCCGGCGAGAGACAGCGCCGGTCATTTCATCGCAAGATTAAAGCATTTGGAATAAACCTTCGTTGTTCCAAGTGAGAAAAAAGTTTCCTTTCTGTATCCAACTGACAAAATCTGGTGCGTGTAACAATCAAGGTCATTGCATTTATTATTTCTTTTTTTAGACCTCGAAAAATGGGTGCGTTACAATCGAGGGCGCGTTAGATTCGAGTAAATACAATAAGCGCATTTGTGGGGACATGTGGCACTACCACGCAACATTACGTCGCGTGGGACCGCAATGTCGCGCGCCGTGCATGACACTGACGGTCCTGTCCTGTCCTGTCTGTGTGTCTCCGTCCCTATGTGTTCTATTCTTTGGTGCTGTAAAACACTGACAGCTTTGAATATTCGCAAAACCATCGGGCCCTTTAGTTGTTCCCTTACTGCAACCACAAAAGGAGGAAGAGGCCTCGTAAATGCCACGCATTTGGAACGCCTTTGGGAGGTGCCCGAGAGACGGCCGACTTTTTAAACCTTTTCGCCGTTGAACCTTTCTTCTTTGTCGAGGGCTCGTCGAAGCTCCTCGCGCCTTCTTCCGTCCTCCCCAGTTGTACGCCTCGATGCACGACCTGGTCAAGATGGAAGCGAGGGATCCTGACCGGACTCTGCTCCACATCCGGCAGCTCGCTCAGCAGCTCTACCTCAACGTGAGCTTCTCCTTCGCCCGCTCGTTCCACTTCGGTACGGCTCTCAAAGTGCCCCGTCTGAAAGGAAAGATGGGGGTCCCCGCAGGAGAATCCGAATCCGCAGCCGTACGTGGAGAAGATCCCCAAGCCGACGGAAGGCGCCTTCACACGCATCCACCAGCCCCAGTTTCCGAAACTGGACGGCGCGCTCGTCAAGTCCATTGTGGAGACGGGACTCTCCCGGAACCACCTTGGGTCCAAGTGAGTGGCGCCTTGCGTTTCTTCCTCGATTGACTCTAAGCCAAGTTCCGTTCGGTTTTTCTGGTCGTTTGCGAGCATCTGGTGTTCTCAGTTTTCTCGAGATACAAACGAAAGGAGGTTTTGCGTTGAAATTTTCAGAAGTCTGAGAAATGTACGAAGCTTCCCTACGACAACTAGAAGGTTGAAATAACGTTTCTTGAATAGCTAATTACTTCTCTTCAAAGCCCGCTGGATTTGTTTGGTGAAAATTATGTTTACTTCTCACGCTTAATCTGATGGGGATCCCTACTTTAGTGCAAGTTGAAAGAGTCTTCTAAAATAACTCTGTTCCAAAAAGTTTTGTATCCATTTTCGATATCCGTGGAACCATCTTTGGCTAAACACGATAGTCGTTACTTTCCCTCCAAAATAAGTCCTGCGTCTGCCTGCAGAAACGCTTTTAAATACTAGTTTCTTTCCCAGAACCAAAACAGAATGGAACGTGACTCCCCATAAATTTAGTTCAGACAGTGTACTCGAATAAATTGAGTGCCTTTTTGACGTGTAACTGTTGTTTGGTGCTTTTATATATTTTTTTGCCCTTTCTCCCGTGGGAATCGAACCTGGATCCGGCTGCGTGCAAGACATTGCCACAGAGCTACGCCACAGCACTAACCCGCTTTACACTTGGGGTTTTTCTAGTACCCGATGCCCACTGCACGTGCTTTTTGGAAAAAGAAATAGCCGGCAACAAAATGCTGTCGCAGCGTGGTCAGTGCCAAGAGCTCGTGCCTGGAGACGAATTTTCGCACGCTCTGGAACAAAAAAGAAACAAAAGCGTGGAGAACAAAACAGTCAGATGTCTATTTTGTTCCCATATACCACGGTGCGCGAACGCGATACCGATGCCCAATGACTTTGCCGGGAAGTGTCGCAGCCATCGCTCCGACTGTAGTGCGAATTATTGTGGGACTGCTTAGCTTTTTACGTTGCTCGGTGCACGGCAGTTGTTGAACCCTCCTTGTCCTTGCCTCTGTACAAGGGACGTGGTCGTCTGCTTCCATTGTCTCCCAGGCTGTCCTCCCTGAGGCCTCAACTGCCGCGCATCGTTCCGCCCGGTCCGTCGATGGCCCAGGTTGCCAGCCAGGATTCGGTCGTAAGCAACTCCGCACGCCGCCTCGAGGTGCTCTGCAACTGCATCAACCACGTCTTCGACAACAAGATCTCCGACGCCCGGAAGGTCGGTCTTTGGGCTTGGGTCTTGGGGCATGTTTCACATTCTGAATCGACGGAAATTTTACCCAAAAATCGCGTTGAATTTGTTAACGTCTAAATGCAAATTGTCCAAATTCATTCTCACTTTCTGTGCAAACCCCTGTGTATGATACTTTCGGTAATGTCTAGATTCGATGGTTAGTTCCCTATCGAAGGAAATAAACGCTATAAAAAAGTAGGATACAATCACTCTATAATGAAGTCTGTTGTAGGAAAGATGTGAAGTGTGCGCGTAATACTTGTTCAGGCATTTGACGTACTGATATGGTTAAGGCCACGGTCCCACTGAATGTGGCAGTTTAGGTACTTTTTGGCAGGTCATTACTCATCTCTTTTTAAATACTGTTTTGTGGGATTGATGTCATTCGAAAGGCAATGCAATCCTCTTTCATTTGATATTATGGTTGTGTTGGTTTTTACTGTTCATGCGCATTTGTAGCGTTGCGAATATGATGGCGCGGACCCTCACTTGCTCCGCTAGTTCCATGTTTTATGAACGATCCATTAAAGATAGCACGGTTCCAATATAGCAGTTTTGTTAAGATGATGTCGGAGCAGAATCTAACGATCCACTTTTTTGATATTTGCACTACTTTGTTTTTTTCATCCCTCCAAATATTGCCCTAAAATTGACATTTTTCCGCACAAATATGTTTTTAATGACAAGAGCTAGGGCAATGAAATTAGCTACAGATGTAGTGCTTATAATTGGTAATATGCAGAAAAAAATTTAATGTTGTGTAAATTTTTTTTGTTTAGATATTTTATATCAAACGTAGCACTTTTTTGTGCTTTGTGTCATGGTAGTTCAAATGCCGCTGAAGAAATAATTAAACTATGATAAAATCTTTTATAACATTTAGAGCTACAATGGTTGCCCAAGAGGTGGACGATGGCTTTTTTTCATTTTCAAAGTCATAACGCTCCAGGAGCCCTTCAAACTTACCTGTTTTTGACGTATATCTGTTTTGGACATCAAACAGATTTATTGGCATTTAATAACATTTATAGTTCGGAATAGATATACATTGCGATGTATTAGATTTTCACAATGATATTGCTTTGGTTTCTTAATAGGTGTAGAGCTTAGCTAATTTTAAAAACAATTAAAAACTGTTTGGGTGTTTTGTTGCGCTACCTGGCGGATGGGAGACAAACTGCTGATTTCTAATGTTCAAAAAATTTCCGAGGGCGGCGTTGGCGTCTGTATCATCATCAATCTCCGTGTCTTTTTACCCTCACATTTAAAAAATATATTGGAAGATTTACTATCGATAACTGAATGGTTTAAGTACTGGGTCAGGCTAATAAATCTAAGACCAATATTTACACAAGCGTAGCGTGATATAATGTGTTCATTATTCGATATGATTGAAATCAATAAACAATGAAGACGAAGAGGAAAAGAATACACCCGAGTTCACTTTATGCCTAGAGTCACTAAATTAGCTTTAAAGTATCGGCACTCCGTTCCCCAAAATTTTTTTGGGCGCCGCCATTTTGGGTCTTGCTCAGAGCAAACGCAACTGCCGATCATCGTGATCTAAATGTACGACTTCCTCAGCATTAGATGCGGTGCTAGGAAGCTGATGCAATATTGCAATGCTCTGTCGCGGGTTGTTTAAACATTTGTGAGGGAGGGAAAAGCGTTTCCTGTGATTTTAGATAAAGCTTCATATAACTGGCAACCATGATTTTAAGCCACAATATGGCCAAGTGTCGTTACTCTGAACCGTAGCTAATTTACTGGCACAAGCGGGAACAATGAAGAAGAGGCAGGTGTCAAAAGGTAGTGGCTTGTGGAATCCACGGGGCTTACGATATGGCCCCTCCAGGTATTACTGGGTGGAGCACTTCATGTGCCCTTTGCTTAGGGTGGAGCACGACATCTGGCCATTTTGTCCCCCTCTTTTATTTTTATTTTTTGTTCAGAAGCGCGTGAAAGAGCGTGTCCCTGCACGCGCTCGTGGCGCTGATTGTGCTATGGCGACATTTTGTTTTCGTCGATTTCTTTGTATTTTCCCCGTGAGCGCGTGCTGTCGGCATCGGGTACTACAGAGGGTGGCATCACCCTAAACAGAAGGACATTGAGGCACCCTAGGTATTACAAGCCTCTTGAACAAGAGCATGAATAGTGTTATTAAATAAGCTACGCTTCAGAGTAGCCACGCTTGGCCTTAGTATGGCTTAAAATTGTGGTTGCCAGTTATTTGAAGCTTTATCTGAAATAGCAAGAAACGCTTTTCCGTCCCCCACTTTAAACAGTTTGCGACAAAGCAAAGCAACATTACATGAGCTTCCTAACACCGAATCTAATGCTGACGATGTCGCACTTTTGAATCATGACGATCGGCAGTTGCGCCTGCTCTGCACAAGCACCAAAATGGCGGCGTTCACAACACTGTCGGGGAAGAGAGTGCCGATACTCTAAGCGCAGCTCATTTATTGGCTCTAGTTGCCGCGAAACTCCTTTTCCCTGACTGAAACTGAAAGTAAATATGAATAATGCACCATTATTACAGCTTATACATTACCATTATTACAGCAACCAAATACACATAATGAGAGGAGGAAGCGGGCGGGTAGGAGAAACGCGGGTTTTATATGCGACCGTTCTAACCGTCTCAAAAGAGAGAACGCACGAGCTTGCGCTGGTTTAGAAAAAAAGGCATCCAAAGAAAAGAGGCGGCACACTGTGTTCTTTGTTATTATGCGTCTAATTGCAAATTGTTGTGTGTATGTTTATTCAGCCGAAAGTTAGTCTGCCTTAGTGGGCGTCTGGTGTCTCAGCTGCAGATGAGCAATTTAGCCAGTGCGGTACAACCGAAAACCTGGGGTCTTCAACGTGCGCCACGCAGTAGTGATGCACGACCGCACGCCGGTACGATGCTCTTCCAGATCGAAACGGGCAGGGGCGGGGTGGGTTCTGCAGCGCGAGCTTTCGCTCCCAGTGCTCCGAGCAGGGTCGCTAAACTTGTCAAGCACAACTTTGTGTCCGAAAGTTGCGGAACGCGCTAATTGGACTCTCGCGACGCTGACGTCGCGCCGAGCGAGGTGTCAATCATTCAAAGCAAAGTTCATCGAGGCGCGCGTGCGGCGCGTGAGGGGCGCGAGGAGCCCGCTGATTGAACGGCTTCGCCGATGACGTAGCGCCCATTTGTCCCTACATCCCTACGCCAAGCTAAAATTAATGCTTTGCAGATTGTCCCTACGCGACCTGCTGACGCTCAAAATCCCTCCGAAGTTTGTGTTAAAGGCCGCCGTACAGTTCGTGCTTTCCACTTTTTCTGCGTTTCCTCCTTTCCTTCCTTCACTGCCCCCCCCCCCCCCCCCCCCCCCTGTTTACCGCCCTTCCCCGAGGGGACAACACGGAGAATGGATTAAGAGACGCCTCCGTTAATCCGGCCTAACCCGCCGAAAAGGGGGCCTGCTGCTTGACCAAAAATTATTTCGCTGCTCGAAAAAAAAAAAAAAAAAGGAAAAGAAAAACGCTGCGGGCAGCGACTGAATGCGCTTTGCCGGATGCGCAACGCTCCGTCCGCCTTGAACAAGCTTGTATGCATTGGACTAACATTTTTCGCAGCGTGGCAGGTTGAGTGTAGGTCCTATCATATGGACCTGCAAGACTTCCCTGTCCGCCACAAGCTAGCCAATAATTCAAGAACATAACGACGGCAGCGTATTCAAACAGTGTGAAATAAAATGTATATAATATTTATAAGAACACCGTTGTCTTCACTGCTTGGCTTTCAAATTTTTAGCGCCGCAAATAATCGTAATCAAACTATTTTTATGATTGAAGACCCCTCGTCGTGCATCGACCCCAAGATTACGCTTACGTGAAACATGATTCTGCGCGGGAGCGGCTCAAGTCACCGTAAACTTTTTTTTTTTTTTTTTTTTCAACATGGTTTTTGCTTTTTAATTTAGCTGAAATACCACTGGCAGAACACGAATCGCATACTTGGAAGGTATATACCGTCTGAAAACTCATATAGCTGGTTGGATGAATGCAATACTATCGCATTCGTTGAAGCTTGATTTGTTGATTCGAACTTCAACAAATCACACGCACCCATTCTCCCTATTCCTGTTTACCCAGTCATAGTCGTTCCCTCACGATGCAATACGAGTACAAGTAACTGCAGTTTATGCATTGTTGACGTTGCACAGCCGTGATCGCACGGTTTTTAGAAGCGCTATAGAACGAGCACAAGCGTCGAATTCCAGTACACTGATTGATTTCTGTCTCACCGCCGTGACGCCACACGAGAAAAGCGATTTCGTTCTGTCTGTGAAATTGGGAACACAGAAATGAAGCCATAATCCCGGTGATAAAACAAAGCGAAATGGATCTCTGTAGCCAATACCCAACCGTTTGCGAGGTGACTAGGCGAAAGCATAAATTACCTCCGTACCTTTACCCTCTGCACACCGCCAGAGAGAGTCATACAAACTCCTTGGAGCTATTGCCAACACGATTGCGTTTGCAAGCCGGTTGTTTGACTCGGCTGGGATTCGTCCCTTTCATAGCTCTCTATGAAACCAGAAAGGTAGATACTTTTCTACATTGGGTGGGTTTGCCCGGGGCCTCCAGTTATATACGGCCAAAATCGCACTGGAGGCGCTTCAGCAATGTTCACTCTGGTCGACTCACGTGCACTGTAAAAATGCCAGTCGTCTACTCTTTCCGAAAAGATACTTGACGAGCCAATCTTAGAGACGGACGGATAACGAGGCCGAAATTATGCTCATACCTCAAAAAAATTATAACACAAATTTGGCCTCGTCATTCCCAAACTGGTTGCCGGACGAAATTCTCTATGCGTATTGCAAGCCAGGGTTGGTAATAGTAACATAAGATACGTACGGCAGAATTCCCTGCCATAAATAAAATTATTTGGCTGACGCCAAAGTAACGCGAAATAGGTCCAAAGAGTTTTGCAAAAGGGAGCGTAAACAGAA